CAATCCACTTTCATCCCAACAAATCTAGCCGCGTTATCCCTATGGTTTCAAATCTTCCCTTAGTAAGCGTTTCTATGATTCCTCGTAGGAACCGGAAAAAGAGTAGAATTTGAGGGTTTCTCGACATCTTGACCTTGTATCCCTTTTCCTTAGGCTTTAACTCATAATTCCCTCCCTCGGTATATGACTCAACCACTAAGCTGAAAGTACTTTCCCAAAGGTTGTAACATAAGGGAAAAAGGTTAGGGGTAGGCTAAAATTTTAAAATTTGGTGGTTTCCCTAAAATTGAAGCAAAAAGGCGCCTTTCATAGAATCATAATCAAGTAGTCACCAAACAAAAACAAACTAAGACCCCCAAGCTTATTCAAAGCTATATACACAAGCATATATACAAAAAGCGTAAACGCTTCTCCCCAAGCTAAAAGGAAGCATTGTCCTCAATGCTTGAAAAGGGAAAAGAATTTACATCAAAATATTTTTGAATTTCTCTCATTTTCACTTTTTTTTTTTGTTTTATTTTTGTATTTTCATTTATATCAAAACAATTGCCCATGCCTCTTAAACTTCGGACGGCTTTTACAAATATGCAATTGCATTGTCCTTGCCTTTTGTTTTACTTTAGACGGATTATACTTTATTCACTTGCCATTATTCACACAAATATCAAAATATAAACTTGCTTTCAAGAGAACCAAATACCCAAACTTCTTCACCACAAAATCCAACAATAATCATCAATTGTTTCACAAAAACCAATAATGGAAACAAAAATGAAACAAAAAGCTTAAAATCTAAAGATGTGGCTTGAAAAGAAGGGGAAAGGCTCAAATGGTTAGCAAGAAGGCAAATGTAAACCCAATGAACTAAAAAGAAAGAAAAATCCTAGAAATTAAAAATTACCACCCTAAAAAGATGCATTTGTCCTCCCTAGTTGGTTCAGTCTCGAGTTTGAGAATTATGACTCAAGATTATAGATTAGGTCCGCAATAGTCAAGGATCCATACCGCTCATGCAAATAAATGTTGAAGGCTTGAAAAATAATGAACCTCGCATGGATGTAGCAAAAACTCACTAAGGGTGTCAAATCAACTAAAGGAAGCAACTCCGTCTTACCACAAACCCAACAAAATTCGGCTTCAAGGCCCCAAAAGGTCTAAACTGCTACCTTAGCATACCCTATCCTAGAGTCAACCACAAATATTCTCAAAACATGCATAACAATTAAACATAGGAAAGCATACAGTCAAAGGCAAAATTCCGAGATGTAGAATGTCCAAAGAAAAGAGCTAAACAAGCAAAAAGAAAAAGAATAGCCTCAAAAATGTTTTATTTCTTACTTGAATGAAAGAAAAGAACTAAAAATCAAAAGAAAGAGAGAAAAGTACAAGAATGCAAGCAAGTACAAGTAATACCAATCGTCAAACAAGTGGTCATTCGACAACAACGCCAATGACCCCAAATACGCAAGGTGTTACAATGCAAACATCCTTGAACCATTCAACACATACTAAAGCTAATCCTAAACTAAACATCTATCAAGAAAATAAAAAGAAGAGATATAGAAAGATCTCACCGGGCGCCAAAGCTATGCTACATAATCAAGGTGTAAGAGCACCTTACGAATTGTTGAAATCCCAAGCATATGCATTACAACAAGGTGAGAAATAAAGAACTATATACAAAGAAAATTTTTAGTAACTTCCAAATAAAGTAAAAGAAGAAAAGAAAGAAAATAAAATAATGAAAATAAAGGAAAAGAAAGTAGTAATAGCAACAGGAGTAGAATCAAATGAGACATCAGATCGAAGCAGTAACAAGAAACAAGATATCATATAATCATCATCAGGAATGATCATAACAGAGATACAAAGAAACGCATCAGACAGCGATCAGCGAATCAAGCAACAAGGCCAAAAAAAAACTTGGCAGAGAATTCAATAGAAGAACAACATCATCATCATAAAACCAAAGGACTCAAAGATCGATACTAGAAGCAGACAAGACCAAGAATGAACTACAAAAGCAAGAGGAAAAAACAACGAAGCACAACAACAAACGACATATAATGCCCCCAAGCTTAAAATGGGTCACCCTTCTAACTCTAAACCTAAAGACATGTAAACAAAAGAGAAACATCATATAAAGCACAAAAGAAGGGGGGGCCATGGTAGTATCATTCTGCACTATGGTAAGGGGTAGAATGAGAAATCCCCTCACCGATCTCAATCAAATAACAAGAGCTTGCCATCTCGCTCACCTCCATGGGAGCCTTACCCCTCAACCGACTTTCCCTCCTAATTCTATCAAGCTTAAAATAATGAGACCAATCATCTAAAATCGGCTCACCCAACCTACCCCACCTACCAAAAGTCTCGAGGTCCAGAAAAGGCGAAGGATTAGCCGGATCATATGCATAGTCATAACCACCGGGCCGCCTATATACGTAAGTGCCTGGGGTAGTGCCTATGATAGAACTAGGGTGAATATGGGGGCCCTCCCAATAAGGGCAACAAAGTCTAAGACCCACAATAGGATCAAAAGGCTCCCATTGACGTAAGGTTCTACTTCCCCCTCAAAACATGCAAATCATATAATCGATACATATGATAATGATAACCAAGGGAATGGGGTTACACAGAAGGCATGGAGTACAACACGTTAGCAATAGAATAAAGCTTGACATGAATGGTCGACTTTGAAGCGAATAGAATAAAGACCGTATAGCCGGATGAATCATGGAAGCGGACTTTGAAGTTTGAGGGTCATACTTTCCTTCCTCCGAGATACTCCTCCACCAGCGTTGCTCATCATATCCATGATCACTTGTCATTCTACTATGAGCCGGATAGATACAATGATCCGGATCCTTGGCCCAAGGAAACATGAAATATGAACATAGTTGAGCATCCGTCAATGAGTGATCATTGTTGAAGTGTTGGAAAGTCAAAATCTTTGAATAATTTGCACCCGGTTCATGGACAACTTCAATAGAAGAAAGTAATTCATAAGTCACTCTAGCATAAGTAGGGGCACTCAAATCCAATAACTCTACAAGATCAAGGCCCTCCGCAAGAAGGCGAACGTCCTCATCAATCCCTAGAAACTCGGTTGTTGTTTGTTTGTAGAATCTCGTTGGCCTAAGCTTCCTCTTGGATAGACGCTTGAAACAATCCCAATGTGGTTCATTTGAAAATTCAATGCCATAAGTTTCTTCAACCTCGGGTGGAAGTGGAACAACATACCTAGGCTTGCTTGAACTTGCTCTAGCTCGCTTCTTATGACAAAGTGTGGCCATCTACAAAGTATCAGGACTTAACATAAGGTTCAAGAACAAGCACAAAATGGAATTATCTCACAATAAAAGAAAGAGATGGTAACAAATGAACAATGTCATTAATAACATCATGAATATTAAGCAAATAAACATGGATTAAAGGAAAAATTGAGCATAAGAAACCAATTCATGAGTCAAATTGAGCAAAATAAACCCCAAACATTGAATTATCAAAGATATGAAACCAACATAAAGAAAACCCATGAGAGAGAAATAGCCAACAATGGTTATTAAAGATTTCAATCAAAGTTTAAACATTTATCATGAAGAAATTTCAGTTCAACACTCAATGATATCATTCAACATTAATTTCAAGTGAAAATAACTAACCATAGAGTTTCACCATGAAAGCATAACAAGGGGTTCAAGCTTGAATCAAAGAGGAAGAAGATGAACAGACAAAAAGAAACCATACCTCAATGAAGCCTTGAAATGCTTGCAAAAATGCTCAAAAGAAAGATGTAAGAACAAATAGAACCCCAAAAAACAAGCTCCAAACCTCAACACAAAACTTCAAAATTTTGAAAAAGACCCAATTTTTTAAAGAATTAGGGAAGAAATTCTGAAATTTTTTGGTTTTAGATTTAAAAACTTGATGTTGGCAATTGTAATTGATGTTGAAATTATAGCGAAAGAGGTGAAGTAGGTTTGATATTGCAAGTGAGGTTATAGGGTTTTAGGAGGGAAAAATGAGAGAATTGAAAGAGTAGGGTGCGTTTTGAGGTAATAAGGGCTGCCAACAGGCGTGCGCGCAACAGAAGGTCACGCCCGCTCCTGATTATGTCGCGCCCGCGGGGAGTTCTTGGTCAGATTTGGTGATTTTAGATGTGCAAAAACCCGCGCTCGCGGGTAATCTTTGTGGTGCGTGCGCACCACATGCAACATAGGAAAGCTCTAAAAAGAGAAACACCCTTAATAATGCTTTCTTGTTTGCATTCTCACCGTCCCTAACGAAGTCATGATCAAGGACTAAAAAATGTCATAAGAAACAATCCAAAATATTATTGAACATGAATAAAAATCGATGGGAATGCAAACTTGAGAACATATAACCTCAACGAACCCTTTTCTCAAAGCTTAACCAAACCTCATGAAATCTTGAAGTAGCACCAAAATTTTTGGAAATTTTCTCCGATCCAAACTCATGGTACATAGGATCAAAAAGAACAAACAAAAATAAAGGAAATAAGAAAATTTCTCAAAAGAGAAAGTATAGGAAATTGTAAAATCAAAGAAAAAGGTTAGAAAACCGGGTTGCCTCCCGGGTAGCGCTTTTGGTTAACGTCGTTAGCTCGACGTCCACCACCAATTAAGGTGGTTGTCGAAGAAAGAATGAGTCAACGAAACCAACAAAAGCATCGTCAAAATACTTCATTAGACGATTGTCACTAGCCTAGAACAGAGAAAGAGAATCTTCAATTGAGACTTCTACAAAACCATTTGGAAAATCACTCTTGGCCGAATTGGGACCGCTCCATCTTGATCACCTGATGCTAAGGTGTGATGGAAGAGGTTTGACCTCAACCATTGGTACACCTTTACCTTCCTTTGAAGTGGCGGCTTGCAAAGCTTCTTGGCTTGAGATATTCATGCACAAATGCTCATCCACTTCTCAATGCTTCCATTTAGAAAATCCTCATACATTGCCACTTCTTTGATAGGAGCTTATATCTTATCCTTGTTCAAAAAGACATTCTCAATAGGATCATTAGAAGTGAGCAAGTGATCATGCTTGGAAGATACAACAAGATCAAGAGAATCAATCAACATGCAATTTTCTAGAGAAGAACATGGATACTTCATGCTTTCAATCAAGTCAAATTCAATAACCTCTTCTCCTACCTTTAGTAAAATTTTCGCACTCTTAACATTAATCATAGCACCCGAGGCAGCAAGAAAATGTCTACCAAGAGTAATGGGAATGGTAGCATCTTCATCCTTTTCAAGCACCACAAAATCTACCGGAATATCACAAACTTCCCTACTCTCAAAGGAACATCCTCAACCTTCCCCTTAGGAATCTTAATTGACCTATCGCCCAATTGCAAGGTGATTTTGGAAGGCATATATTCCCCTAACTCAATTCTTTGATAAACCGAATATGGCATTAAGCTAACACTACCTCCTAAGTCAAATAAGGTATTATTAATTTTAATGGCACAAGGGATAAAGAAGTTTCCGGGATCTTTCAACTTGGGTGGCATCTTGTTCATTATAATTGCACTAAAATTTTCAATCAAGTTGACCGTCTCAACCACATCACAAGACCTCCTACCACTCAAAATATCTTTGAGGAATTTTGCATAGTTGGGCATTAGGGTAACAACTTCGGTAAAAGGTATAGAAAGATGAAGTTGTTTAGGCATGTCAATAAATCTTCCAAATTGTTCCTCCAACTTATATCTCATGAATTTTTGTGGATATGGAAGCTTGGGTTTCACAATCTCTTTCTCTACTCTAACCTCTCTAGGTGTCTCAATTACAACCTCACTCAAAGATGCACCATTTCTCTCATCCTCTACCAAGGCCTCCTTAGGGACCTCCTTAGTTCCACTCTTCCTAGGCAAACTCTCCTCAAGAACCTTAGCACTCCTTGTAACAATAGCATTCATGGGTCTCTTAGGATCTAAGCCTTGGGAAGGTATATATGAAGGACTAGCATGGCCTTTCAAATCATTGGCAAGTTGAGAAATTTTGTTTTCTAGCATCTTATTATGAGTGATCACCTCATTTAATTTCTTCTCACTTACGACCATGTAAGTGCTCAACAACTTTGTTTGATTTTCAATGATTTCCTCCAAATAAGTCCTAGAATAAGAGGATTGTGAATAGGAATTATCAACTTGAGTCTTTGGAGCAAATCCGGGTGGAGGGCCTCATTGAGCATTATTTTGAAAATTGCCTCTCCCTTGATTATTCCAATTACCCCTATTTTTGTTTTGACCATAACCTTGATTATCGTTACCACCACCTTGATTATGATTTCCATAACCTTGGTTTTGATTACCATCATTTTGGTTTTGATTTTGGCCATTATAACCTTGAATGTTATAGTTACCTCGAGAACCTTGGTTACCTTGGTTCTTATAAACACCACCTTGGTTATAATTGTCAAAATTACCTTGATTTTGGCAATTCCTATTCCATTGACCCCTTTCGTTATCAAACCTTTGCACATTATTATAGTTTGACACATAGTTCACTTGGTCACTCTCATTATTATCAAAATCATCATTCCCATCCGGAAAAGCATGAGGGCAATTACTAGAATCATGATCATATGAACCACACACATCACAAAACAAACAACCACTAGGCATGTTACTAGAAGAAGGAGTACCTCTCCCTTTAAATTGAGAGGGAAGACTTGGAGCTTAGGAAGTAGAACTCTCCAATTTTTCCTTGATTGCATTCACTTCCTTCACAAAGTACGCCATTTGTGAGAAGAGATTGTTGATTGCATTCAAATGATCAACCGAGTACAACGAAGAGATACTCTTGATAGTTGATTCTCTCTCACCATCTTGCTAATCTCTAAAGTACCTCACAATATCCTCATTGATGTCCACCACTTCTTCTTTCGTCCTATTCATGATGGGACCTCCGGCTCCTCCATCTAGGCATGACTTACCTAGGGGACTGAGGCCTCCATAGAAAATCTGAATAACTTGATAGGTTGGAATCCCGTGGTGAGGACATTCCCTTTGATACTCCTTATATCTCTCACATGCTTCATAGAGGCTCTCACTTGGATTTTGTTTGAGGCCTTAAATCAAAGCTCTTGCCTCCGCCGTTTTCTTTTGTGGATAGAAACGAGTTAGAAATTCCTTTTTAACCTCATCCCATGAAGTTAGACAATTCAGCTTAACCTCCTTGTCTAACCATTCCAAAGCACGCCCAATGAGAGAAAAGGGAAAGAGCTTAAGGCGGATGAATTCTTGGGAACCTCCGTTCACCTTAATAGTATTGTAATATTTTTCAAACTCCTTGAGATGATTTAGCGGGCTCTCATGCTTGGCTCCACTAAATTGTCGCCTCTCTATCAAAGTGATCATAGCCAGCCTAATTTCAAAATCATTTTCCGGTGTTGTGGGTGGAGCAATTCCACTCTCAAATCTATATGCACCGGGAATCCCCAATTCTTTCAATAACACTCTTGGATTCTCTCCCATTCTTTCTTGTTCCTCTTGTTGCGGTTCTTCCTCACTTGAAATGCTAGAGCTAAAAGATCTCCTAGAAACCCTTAGCCTTGTAATAGTCCTCTCAATCTCCAAATCAAATGGTACAAGTAAATGACCACGTGCTCTATGCATACAGCTAAAAGGAAATGATTAGTAGCATGGCTACAAATGTAGCTTAAAGAGGAAAATCTTTTTTTTATAAAGGATGAAATAGACTCAACAAATATAACAAATCACCAATGTCATTCCCCGGCAACGGTGCCATTTTAACAAGGGTTGGAACTAGGTCGTCATCTAATTCTCCCTTGGTCAAACAAAATTTGTAAACGCTTAACAAACGTTATACGAGTATAGAAGCAAGTTAAGGTTCGAACCCAAAGGAATGAATCAAAGTTATGCTATAGTCTACTGTTAAGCTAAATCGAAGAATTAACAATCGTTGAGTTTTGTAAGTAAGATAACAAGAATCAAGACTGTTTCGGGGTTTTCTGATGTCCTGCGGGAGAGTTACAATTCCGAGACTGGAACCGGACGCCTGTACCTGCAAAACAACGGAGACTCCTGGTGGTGGGAGCTCCGCCTCCAACGGTCAAGTTAGTACTTGATTAAGGAGTAATTAATGTAGAAATTAAAGTGAGTGGGTCTCTCTAGGTGAGAGTGTTTAATGTGAGTTTTTAGCGTAATCTGCTTTGTTAGCGTGATCAGCCTATTATCTCTGTAATCAATATGTTTTTTTTCTGTCATCCCCCCTTAATGAGGATTAAGGGAGGTATTTATAACCTTGGGAAACGTGCCAATCCTAGGTTTAGGTTAACCTAGGGCTGATTGGGCTTCCCTCGGAAGTTGGGCCTGGGTGGCCGGTTTCTCCATTAGGCATGGAGTATGCCACGTGTCATGACATAACAGGTCCAAGGTGGACGAATAAGCGTGTGCCACGTTGCAAGCCCTGACAGTTCCAACTGGGGGACACTTGGCAAGACCTGATTGGCCCACGTGGCACATTCCGATTGGTGGGAGCAAAATCCCCTAATCATTTGCCCCTCACAGGTGGCACGTGACTGGTCACGTGTTACCTGTGACAGGTGTCGCACTGTAATAGGCGACGGCCTGCTACAGGTGTCAGACGGCGAAAGGCCGAGAGATTTTCCCGCCCAAATTTTGAATTCTGAAAGTGACCCTTCGCCTTCTCACTTCGCCTATATAAGGGAATGTTGACTTCAGTCATTTTCACACTTGAGAACTGTTGAGAACATTTGGACCCCTGAACTTGCTCTGACATTTTGGACCCTTTCTGCCTACCGCCTGTTCCGACAAGCCGACTACAAAGGATTTTCAGAACTTCATCAACCGTCACTCGTTCAGGTAACTGTCAGTTCTCTTACTCTTAATTTTCTTTTTTACTTTTTTGAAATGGCACCACGGAAGCACACGACATGACCTAGGTTAGTGATCAGCCGGTCACCGGGGACGGCTGAATCTAGGACTAGGAGTGCCGCCTGCCCTTTTCCGGACCTATCTTTGCCCTTTATACAAAGTCCGACTGTATCTGTGTCTATGCAGAGCAGGATGGCCAGAACGAAAAAGACTGCTAGGATCTCAAACTCAGACGGCTCCTCCCACAGGGTGCCGATTAGTGAAACATCTGACCAGACACCAGATGTGGAAGTGAAACAAGGCGGCCTGAAAGCCGGCAATTCTGAGGGAGGAGTCATAGTGACCCCTTCCCATTTAACAGTTAACAATTCTGCTCCTTTTCAAAGAGAGGAGGCGGGCCCCTCCGGGAGAGGGGAGGAGTCGTCCTCTTCGGACTCGTCAGAGGGCGATTCCGAGTCTAGCTCTTCTGGCCATGCTTCTCTGGACACAGAAGAGAAAAACAGCCGCCTGCAAGAGGCGAGGCTTTCTCACGCAGTTGAGAAGGGGGACAATTGGGCGGAGCCATCCGCCTCTTACCGAGAGCAAAATGCCCCCTACTACTGCAGGGTACCTCGGGGCCGGATCACAGTCATGCAAGAGAAAGTGGAGAGCTTTATCGCAAACCACACAATGGGCCCCGACTTTTTAGTGTTTGTGCCGGATCCAGAAGACACAGTCGTCTGGCCGGCTAGTACCAGTTATGATAGCGCCTGCTTTGGCTGCTACGAGGCGGCCATCAAGGCTGGGCTGCGCTTCCCATTACATCCGGCTGTTCAGCGGATCTTGGATGGGTATGAGTTGGGGTTATGGTAGTTTGCCCCGAACTCCTGGGTCAATGTACTCGGCTATGTGGCCGGGTGCGAACTCCACGGGGTGGAGCCGAGCTTCGAGGCTTTCGCCCATATGAACTATCTCAGCCGGACCCCTAAGGCAGGCGGTACCGGCTGGTATCAGTTGACAAGCCACAGGGGCTACCTCATGACGAGAGGTAAAGCAAACAAGTGGAAGGACTGGCGGAGCACCTTCCTCATCATTGAGAGTTCAGACACTGAGCTGAACAAGCGCTTCAATAGGTGGAACAGGAATCCGCCCCTTCTTGCAGGAGGCCGCAGCATGCCGCCTGTTCCCCCCAAGGCTAAGAAAGAGATCCTGGATAAAAGACTCTTTAAAGTAGAGTCAAGGGTCGACTCTACTTCAGGGGTACGAGAGCAAGTACCCCTGTACTGCGTCCCGAGCTTCAAATGGCTCTATGACGAGTACTTTTTGGCCGCCTGTGGCCTCAGCAGTCGGTGCTGAAGAGGTAGTCGGCCTGTCGAATACTCTGTTGTTCCATACATTTCTTGTTATGCCTTATTAACTTTGCTATTTGTTTTTGCAGCGGACGCTATGAGCAAAATTACCGCCTCCAAGACTGCGGCGGCCATGTTGCGGGCCTCCATCATGCAACAAGCTTCAACCGACTCCCCCAAGAACGGGGCACCCTTGGTGGGCTTCGAACCTTTCACCCTTTTTTTGGAGTTGTGTTTGTGCATATACTGACTTTTTTTTCTTCTTTTTTAGACGGGTGCTCCAAGGGCTTCTTCTTCCCAACAGCCGGACCCCAAGGCCCGGAGGACGACTGTTGCGAGCTCTCCTGGTTCTGCCAGGAAACATGTGGCGGCTGAGAAACAGCCGGCCACTTCTTCTAAAACTCCAACTGGGCCGCCTAGAAGTATGAAGTTGTCCTTGTAAATTTTAGACTTGCTCCCTTTTTTACTAGGTCTAATCCGTTTGTTTATGCTTGATGCAGCCGGCCCTCAGGAGCCTGACTTGGTAGAGGTGGCCAAGTCTATGATCAGGGTCGTTCCTCCAGCTGAAAGGGAGGAGGTCAGGGGTGTCGGCACCCTTGACCTAGACGGGATTGCAGGGGTCCTTGCTGAGGTATACTTAGCATATTTTTGAGTATTTGAATTTCTGGACGCCTGTTTTCTATTTTTTTTGGAAACTGACGCCTGTTCCTTTTTACTTAGGCCCTGCTCCGAGTGAACCGCCTTCGCAAGCCGCTTGACCGGAAGAACAAAGAGGTAAAGGCTGCAAAAGCCATGGCCGCCTCCAACTGTGATAAGGCAATGTTTCAAATTACCCAAAATGAAGTTCTGACCATTGATATTCTTTATTATCAGGCACAGGCTACCGCCGCTATTCGGGCTCAGTTAGAGGCGGCCCAAAAGAGGAATGGCGAGCTAGAGGCGACCATCACCAATCTCAAAGCCGAGCTGAAACCTCTTCGCCTAAAGATGTACTCATACGAAGCCTTGGAGAAATCCTTGGCCAACGTAAAGGAACGCCTGGTGACCCAGGAGAAGAGTCTTACCCAGGAGCTCTCGGAAAAGGCCGAGCAAGAAAAGAAAGAGCTGGTCCGGGAGATGATGGAAGACTCCGCTCAAATCCAGCGCATGACTTGGGGCCGCCTCTTCCCCAATGCCGACTTTGCCTAATGGGAAAAAACGTACCGCCAGTGTTCTGATACATATAATCAAGAGATCCTGGCGGCTGCTGAGGAAGAGGCGTTGGAGGAGGCGTTGGAGGAGGAGGAGCCGGTAGTGGCGCTTGTGCAGCTTCGGGGTAATGCATCAAAAAAGGATGCAGCTGAAGCCGAGTCCAGCAAGAAGAGTGCTGACCAGGCGGCAGCTGCTAATATTGAAGATCTGCCCCCTTATTAAGCTTTATGTATTCTTTCCACGGCC